GGGAAAATGCACCCTGCTCTGGCAGGAGCTTCCTTCTCCCTCCCTGCAAATCGAGGCAGCTCCTTGAGATGCTCTCCAGACATTTCAAAAACAGAGCCCAGGAAAAGACTCGCCAAAATCCTTTCTCAGCGGAAGGTCCCCTTGACTTCAAAGAGAAAACTAATAACCTCAAGTCACACCCTAGGATGAAAGCAAGCAGGGCGTACATCCCACGCCAAGGCTGAGAGAGGAACATGCTGCGAGGCCTGGCACAGCCGCTGGCAAGTGGCCAGGCACCAGGATTTATGGTTTTAGAGGACTCTGGAAAGCTGTCAACATCCTGCAAATGCATTGCTTGTTCCTGATGAAAAGCCACAGCAGCTCGTGGTGGGAACAGCCAGTCCAGGGCGCTGCCTCCTGCTGATGGGAGAGGTCGTGCCCTGGCAAAAATCCTTTTATTTAGTGCTGGAGAAGGTGCTTAGGGATGCCAGACCTCAATGGTTCTGCAGCGATGGGGAGCTGAAGGTATCAGGAGTTCTGCTGTCACCTTACCCAGCTCACTACCAGCCTTGGGCTGGAGCGAGGGCTTAGCTCGTGGTCACTCACAATCCTCCAGTGTGGCAACCTGCACGCAGGCCTCTGCGGCGGTGCCCTAACATGACTCCTTCCTTTGCCACAGGTCTGCTATATTAACTCACATTCCTGGGGGAAGGAGGGGAAATACTGGAATTAATTCCTCACCCAGTGCAGCAGCCATGAGCCAAGGCAGCAGAAACACCCTCGGTACATGAACCCGCAGGTATCAGCATGAGGGTCCCAAAAAGACAGAAACGAGGTGGGGAAGGAGCGAGCCCAGGCTGTGCCCACCCCTGCTGTGACCATCCTGAAGAGGTATCTGCTCCCCGCCACGGGAGGCTTCCATGACTTTGTGGGACAGCACACACAGCCGGCGTCCTGCTTTGGTATTGCGATATTTGTAATATTGCAAAGCAGCATCTGCAAAGGCCCTCCCAGCATGAAGCAGTTCACCAAGATGCTCCACCGCGCTTGCCAAGGTTCATCCTTGCTGGGAACTGACCTGGGGCAGAGAGCAGCTCTCCCAGGAGCTAAAACTACCTCAGTCTCACTCACTTCACTCTTGGGTGCCCAATATGCATCTTCAACAGTCCTTCTTCAAATGTGGTTGTGGTGAAAACACAAATCCAGCCAAAATCAAATGCCACACAGCACACACACTCCTGCCCTGCTGCCCATGGGGTTCAGAGCCCAATGCTGGCAGCGCTGGGAGCCCATCCTGCCAGAGCCTGGCTCTTCGCTCAGCATCCAGCTGCCCCAACGCATGGACAAGGCATTGCACATTTTGCAGCCTTGATTTATTCTGTTTCCTCCAGCACTCGCTGTAGCAGAGAGTATGTCCCATGTCTCAGCTGAAGAATGTCTTCCCTCCCCCTCAAATCAGGGGCCCCAGGGCATCTTGTTGGCTTCCAACAAAAAGTGTGGTGTCCTGGTTTCGGCTGCGATAGAGCTAATTTTCTTCATAGTAGCTAGCATAGTGCTGTGTTTTGGATTTAGTACCAGAAGAATGTTGATAACACACTGATGTTTTCAGCTGTTGCCAAGTAGTGCTCAGACTACTCAAGGACTTTTTGAGCTTCTCCTGCTCGCCCAGGTGCATAACAAGCTGGGAGTACAGCACAGCTAGCACAGCTAACCCAAACTGACCAAAGAGCTATTCCATACCATATAACGTCATGCTCGGGGGGGGTTAGTTCGTTCGGTCGGTTCGTTCCATTCGGTCAGTCGCGGGCAGTGTGGTCGCAGCTCGAGCTGTGTGATCGCGGCTCGGGGGGAGTGATCGCGGCTCGGGGGCTCTAACCTTTTATTTTCTTTCCGATTCTCTCCCCCATCCCACTGAGGGAGGGGGGGGAGTGAGCGAGTGGCTGCGTGGTGCTGAGTTGTCAGCCGGGTTAAACCACGACATGTGGACTCCTGCTCCTTGCAGGGAAGCCTGCAGGTAGGAGAGAACCAGTAGAGCCCAGCAGCGTGTGGTTGCACTGGTTGTCGGGGACTCTGGAGGCAGAGACCCTTCTCAGGTCTGTGTGTGTGGCAGGGGAATTTGGGGCTTACGGGCCCCTTATGTTCTCAGCAGAACAGCCTTGGAAAAGGGAGGACAACGGGTGAGCCCTGTGCTCCTGGAGAGGGTCACATCCCAGCAAAGGGCTAGCAGTGTAGGACATCCCCTTCCTTCCCAGCTTGTGCTCAGAACCTGCCACCTCAGGACATAGAATCACAGAATCGTTGAGGTTGGAAAAGACCTTTAAGATCCCCAAGCCCAACCGTTCCTCTAACCCTGCCATCCCACCACCAAACCCTGGCCCTAAGCACCTCATCTGCCCAGCTTTTAAATCCCTCCAGGGATGGGGACTCGACCCCTTCCCTGGGCAGCCCCTTCCAGGGCCTGACAGCCCTTGCGGGGAAGGAATTGTTCCCAGTGTCCAACCTAAACCTGCCCTGGCACAACTTGAGGCCATTTCCCCTCATCCCATTGCCCGTTCCCTGGGAGCAGAGACCAACACCCCCCTCACTACAACCTCCCTCCAGGCAGTTGTAGAGGGCAATAACATGCCGGCTGTTTCTTTCCCTGGACATATGCTAGACCAGGGAACCCCACTCCACTCACCCCAAAGGACGCAGCATCCTTCCTGCAGCACGGCACGCAAACAGACCGGCCGCCTTCCTCCTGCTGGTGCTCGCCAGGCTGGAGTTATGGACCTCTGCAGTGGAGGCAGCCTGCAGAGACCTACAGAGAGGGGACCGCTGTCACCCACACATGGGTTAAGGTGCTAAGCCCAGCTGGGACACCAGAGGCGCAGGGAAAAGTTGGGGGGGCCATCAACTGGGCAGATAAATGAATGACTGCAAAAAAGGAAGAAACTGTTTAGCAAAGGGCATAGAAAATTTTATTGTGGACAGAGCTACTAAAGAGCTCCACACATGACTTTGGGACAGGTTCTGCATGTACAAAGGGTATGAAAACATATGAGGTCTGTGCAGTGGCACCTGCTGGAGAGAAGCTACCAATGCTTTCTGTGCGGAGCGGCAGCTGGCCTTGGAAAGCCCTGAGCCCAGCATTACTGCAGGGTGCAGTTCTCTCGGATGATAGCAGACATGAGGAGAAACAACTGGAAGGACTTTAACCAGGATCCACCAGTGAGCAGTGCTGGTCCACAAGGGTTGGTCCTATGCACGCCTGCTTTTCCAAAGGGTCACACTGCCAGCGGGTACCACTGGCCACAGCAGCAAGGGAAAGCTGCGAGGAGTGTCCAGGCCACAGGCCAGCCCCTCCTGCAAATTTAGACATAATGACTTTGACAGCTACGTGAGACTTGACTTCTGCTGGTCAATGGCTCACGTAATTCAATGAAGAGTCAAGGCTCCTCATTCCAGCTCTTTCAGCAGTCAAAAATCAGAGCCAACAGAGAAGGATGGTTAAGAAGCCTGGGGTCAGTGATTGTATCTACGCTGCCTTGCCAGAACTTCCCAAGTACTGTCCCAGGGAGTGTTCAGCCTGGATGGTCCTGTCCATGAGCCACACTTGACCCATAAACCCTATGCCAGCTTCAGCTCTGCAAGGATCTTGTGTTTCCAGGAGCAGCTGCAGCACTTTGCCTTCTCCTTGCAGGCAAGCACTACTTGAAACGTCTGCTGTGTGAGCCCCACACAGCGTGGTGTTGGCCAGGCAATAGCGCTGGGGTGCTTCCCGAAGGAGCTGGGCCAGCTGCTGGCATTCGGGGGTGCTACTGGAATGGGCAGAGGCTTTGGACACACAGCAGGCACCTTCCTGCCTCCCTCTGCTGAAATGAGCTCTCCAGAAGGAAAATTGTCTGGGCTTGAAGCTTCAGGGAAAGTGGGCTTGGCATGCTCCTCAGGGCAGCACAGAGGCCAGCGTGAGCACTGGGATGATGGGCTACAGCCGGGCTGGGAAGTGCATTCGTCAAAGCTGGGAGTCCAGCCTGCCCATCCCATCTTGGCCATGCCCAAAGAACATTTGTCCCCAGATAGCCTGTCCTGCTCTGAACCACTTCTGATGAATGCTTGCCAAATGAGCTAGGCAAGGAGAGGAACAGCTGAGCTCAACTCACGTAGGACCATGCTTTCTCTTGTCCTTCCCTAACCTGCACCCACTGCAGGCAGGAGAAAGGGTTGTTTGTGACAGCTTCCATGCATTAAAACATTTGGTAGGGTGGTAAAGACTTCCCAGGCTTCCTCTTCTCTGCTGGTGCATGTGTTCACACACGCTGGCAGCATGCAGCACCAGGGGCCTGTCCAGGAACAGCGCAACCGGCCAAGCCAGCTGCTCGGGGCACCAGCTGTGCGGGGAGGCAGGGTCTGTGCAGGTGCCGCGGCTGTCAAACGACAAATCCTGTTGGGTACATCCATGCCAGTGGCAAGGCCCATCGGGATGCATGCGTAGCTGCTATCCCAGGCTCCAAGGTTAGCTGGCTGCTGGGCAGATCTGGGCTTGCTGGCAGCCCTGGCCTCAGCCAGGAATTTGAAACAGTGCATGCTGCCCTGGGGAGGCCAAGAAGGCAGGGAAAGCCGGGGAGCTGGAGCGCGGCAGCCCAGGCAGCTCTCTGCTCCTCACCACAGCACAGGGTGCTGCGACTCAAGGCACTGGCTACACATCTGGTGCAGGACTTTTCTGCAATACAGAGGCTTGGCTGTGGCCAAATGCGGATCTGGCATCCCAGGAAATGGAAAGGTTTCAGGAATCTGTTGTATCCCCGAGCTTCTGGTGAGAAAGCTGCACTGTGGGGCACCCCAGGCTGCCAGGGAGGTGGAGCAGGTCAAACTATGCTGCCTTACAGAATACAGTGCTGGTGAACTTGGCTTGAGGGCGCAGTGGGAAGCGGTTATAGGGACTGGGCAATCCTGAGGTTACTCCCTGACCCTGTGCGTGATCCAAAAGACTGACAGGGTGTAGGCAGATGGGAAATTTAGTTTTCAGGGTGCAGGGAACAGCAGAGACGCATGTTCTTCCCCACGCACTCTCCCAGAGAGTTCCTGTAGTACCAAGGTGCAGAGGGCTGGGAGGGTACAGCCCCTTCCTAAGGAAAGCACTCTAGTTCTCTCTCTAGCAACACACCTACCTCAGGTTTGCCACCTTATTGCCTCTTGCCTTTGGTCACGCATGAGAAATGTCTCAGTGCAGCCTGATGGGAAGCACACAGAGCAGGGATGAGTCCCTCAGCTCTCTACGGAGTACTAACACTGCAGTCCTGAACCAGTGGCAGCCCTGGGCACATCCCTATCAGGGGAAACTGTTCCCCCTTAACAAGGAGAGTGGAACAGGGCTCGGGGGGGCACTCCTGGCTTAGGAAGAGGCAGCAGCCAGAAAAAATGATGCAGCGGGGTCTTTACTGCCTCTCAGCTGGTTCTGCTGGAAGATGGAAGCATCAGGTAAAGGGATGCTGCTACCTCCGGGGTCAAGGTCGTTGAACAGCAACATACAAACAGAAAGAAAAGCTCTTGCCTTGTCCCCAAAGGCGATGGCTTTGGAAAGCTGATCACTAGGCCACTGTGGTGTTTGTCCTTATGTCCTTAAAGCATGGATCATGCCTGCCCACGTGCTGCTTGCTGGTGTGTTTTCTGTGGTGTGGCTCAGATGTGCTCTCACTGGGTTGGCGCTGAGACACATGAGGTTCTCCACTGCTCTTACTTTTTTACCTTGTGCCCAGAATACAGATTCTTCTTCCTGTCACCTCTGGGATTGTCTGTGGACAAGGGATAGTCTTGAGAGTTACTTGAGCTATTCTTAGGAGGCCTATGAAGGGCTGTGCTCCCAAGGCGAGTCTGAGCCACAGGAATCTCATCCATGGACTCGGCAGACTCTGAATGATAGTCCGCTGGGGGTCCTGCTGCCTGGATGAGGCCAATGGTGCTGGGGGGCACAGCAGCTCCCAGAGGAAAAGCTGGCACTAAGAGGTGAAGGCTGTGGGAAGGTGAGGTGGCAGCAGCCACAGCTGGGAACTCTACAGATGGAAAGAAAGGGAAAAGAAAGCTTAAGAAGAGAGAGACAGATCTCCCAGCTGCACAAAGATGTCCACAGGGAACTCCGATATGGCTGATCCACTAGTGTTAAATATTTATGCAAAATTAGGTATTAAAACGTATAGAATTCTACACTCAGCAGTGTACCCAAGTCTGATAATTTTAGAGTATCTCCAAGGACTCAGAAGTGCTCATTTTCACTTCCTCGGCAAGTTAACTTTCTGCCAGTGCTGGGTTTTCATAGAATCATAGAAACATTTAGGTTGGAAAAGCCCTTTAAGATCCCCAAGCCCAACCGTTCCCCTAACCCTGCCATCCCACCACTAAACCCTGGCCCTAAGAACCTCCTCTGCCTGGCCTTTAAATACCCCCAGGGATGGGGACTCGACCCCTTCCCTGGGCAGCCCCTTCCAGGGCCTGACAGCCCTTGTGGGGAAGGAATTTTTCCCAATGTCCAACCTAAACCTCCCCTGGCACAACTTGAAGACATTTCCCCTCGTCCCATCGCCTGTTCCCTGGGAGCAGAGCCTGACCCCCCCCAGCTTCCCCCTCCTGTCAGGCAGTTGTAGGCAGCGATAAGGTCTCCCCTCAGCCTCCTCTTCTCCAGGCTCAACACCCACAGCTCCCCCAGCCGCTCCTCAGCAGCCTGGGGCTCCAGACCCCTCACCAGCTTTGTTGCTCTCCTCTGGACATGTTCCAGCAACACCTCTCTTGTAGTGAGGGGCCCAAAACTGAACCCAGCATTTGAGGTGTGGCCTCACCAGTGCCCAGGACAGGGGCATGGTCACTGCCCTACACCAGCAACCAGAAATCCAGTCCAGAAGCAAGAAGGTGACTGGTGCACTCTCACCTGACCGGGGATCTGGGAAAGAGGGCCAAGGCCTAGTGTGTGTTTTAGATCTGCTGTCCATTGCTGAAGAAGAAGCTTTATGGGTCTTCTTTCTTCTTTTTTTCTGTCGCTGTGAAAAGAAGAGGTCCAGGAGAAGGGAATTCACTTCATCAGCCCAAAGTAGACACTAATTTATTTTTTTTTTTATTTCTACCTCTTTAATTCCTCCTATTTTTACTTATGAGCATTAGGTATGTCGAAAGATGAAGAATATCTAATAGTTTAAGACTGAGTTACTATAAAGCAATGATAGAGAACAGGTATTTAATGAACACACACATTATCTGCCCACAGCAATTCTCTCTGTGTAGGTACCTTTAAGCTGTTGTCTCATACAGCCGGAGGTTGTATGAGAGACTGGTAGACAAATGCATTTCTGGAGTCAAACTAAAGAGGGGACCAAAAGTCACGTAGCACAGGACATCCCAAAAGAGAGATAGCTCTTGTCCAAAATACAAGTATAGTTGAAAAGGATTTGTTCTTATCATCTAGATGACAAGGCTTTGATTAGTAAGCCCGGAGGAAAGGGGGAGAGCACTGCCACCTGCCATTTGAGTAAGGGGGGAGAGCATCTGGACGTAGGTACATGAATATCAGGAGTGCAGGAAACTAGACTTTGGACATACCTTCAAGTTTCATATCTACACACCCTATCCTTCCCTGGGCAGATGCTTTAACTTCCGTATTTAAACATATAGAACTGTTGGATTTTGCTCTACAGAAACACACACAGCTTGTTACACAGAATCACAGCAGGGATTGGCAGGGCCCTCCAGAGATCACTCAGTCCAACCCCCCTGCTCAAGCAGGGTCACCTAGAGCAGGTTGCACAGGACATCGTCCAGGCAGGTTTCTCCAAAGAAGGAGACTCCACAACCCCCCCTGGGCAAAGAAGGACACCAAAGAAGTAGTACAGATACAGTCACTGAACTGCACTGGAGCAGCAAGGTATTGTACAGGCTCCATGCATTACAGCTGAGCTGCAAGCTCGTGAAGGAACTACAGAGCGTATCTGATGACACGTGTGAGCTGAGACAGGAGAGTATTGCTTGGATGTAGTGACGGCAGGGCACAGCCACACCTGCACACACAGGCTGAGGATAGGCAGAGCATGCGGACGAAGAAGGCAACCACGGCCTGCGCCCGAGTGTGCACCCATGCAGCCTGGTGACTTGTTGGCCGCAGAGGTTGCAGTGCGCAGCAAGTCTCCTGCTTACCAGAGGAGGGACGGCAAAGTGAAGAGACGGGAGGTCAGGAGAGGAGCACTGCTCGGGGTCAGCTTCATCATCGCGGACGTAGAGCTTTGAAAAGCTAAAACACACAGCAGATGTGCAAGATGCTTCCCTTAGACATGACTTAACTCTGGTACCCGCTTTGTTTGCACATACACATCAGCCTGACTGAAGCAGCCCCTGCTTCGCACAGCAGCAAGACTGCAGGGTAATTTTTCCTGCACAACTGTGCAAAGTATGAAGGATTTCCTCTCCCTCCCCCAGAGACATGAGTTAATAGGCTAGGATTAATTAAGAGACAAGGACACTGTTTTCCCATGAGTGCTTGCCTGTGTTAAAGCTTTGCTGTTGTGATTCATCTCTCGGCAACCTGAAATCATTTACCTATAATGAGCTCAATATAGGAATTATAGGAGAAATCAGGCAGCTTTAAAGTAGTTTTAATACAAAACAGCCTAAATGGAGCATTCTAGGAAAGATACTTTCCTAGGGGAGGGGAGGCAAGTACTCCTGCAGGTATTTACCCTCCTGAAACTCAAAGATTTCACCATGCCTTGGTCAAAACATTAGTGCTCCTCCTCCTAAGTACTTTTATCTTAGGGTCCATCAGTGACTTCGGTGACAATTTCCCAGTCACCGTACATGCTGCTGGGAGACTCCGATCTATGACTTTACTCACCCTTTTCCTGAAGTTACTGTTGCGAATTCCTCTACTTGAATACCAGGGTCTGTATAACCAGGGTTACCTGAGAAAAAGTCTGCTTCCTGGGAAAAAAAAAAAAGAATTAACATTTTCAGACCAGTATGCATACGGAGTGGAGAAGAGGGATTTTCACTACAGAGATGTCTTCCTCCTCTTTCCTCAGCCACATGCCAGGCATTTTCTGTCCTTACTGATAGCACAGCCAAAACTCAGCAGGAGTCTGCTCTTTAGGAAGATTGAAAACCAAGATTGAGACAATCAGAAGTCCCTGATTCATTCATTTAGTCCAGGCAGTCTGTCATGTGACTCAAAACCAAATCACACTTACAGCTGAATCATTTCTTGGGACCACATTCAAAATACCACTTAAAGCCTCCACTGGGGATACAGTTCAATCATAGGAGCTAAGCAGCAAATGCAAAAAAACTTCTTTTAAATTCAAAATGGAGGTGAGGAAAATGAAAGCAAGCAACATACAGGAAAAAGATAAAGTATTTTCTGTTCCTTGTGTGAATCCTGTATGGCTAAAGAACTGCTGGGTTTTTTAAAAAAGAACGTGATATATCGCTCGCTTGCCTCAGGTGTAGATGAATTCAAAGTAATGCCATCCTGGACTTTAAAACTGCATACTTCCATAAACATACGAGAAGACTCAACGAATAAGCTTCCTAAACCCAAGTGTCTACGTTACAGAGAAGGGCTCCCAGTTCTCCCTCAAAAGGACACAGTTATAATGGTCAGAGCACCAAGTGATGCAGGGTATGAAGCTCCGTCATCAAAAAGGATAAACCATGCTCAGGAAAACCTGCTCTTAAACCTGGATGATTAGCAAGACAACTTCCTCTAAAACATTATAGTGCGCCATGACTACAAAGACACACAAGCTTTTTAAGGCAACTTTTAGGTGGTAAAGACGGAAGGATTTTAAATGTGATAGGCATCTGCTTCCCAAAAAGCTTAAACTCATGAAGACCTATTTGTCTGAAGAGCTTGATCAGCAAACTTGAGAAAATGAAGTCAAAGTTGGACGTCCCACAAAGGGGTTCCTGAGAAACCCAGGGCCTCTGCGCTTCAACCAATTCATAAACAATCGACAAAAGAACAGAACAGTCAGATGAAGTCTGGTGATGATACTCCCTTACGTAAGGCAATAAAACCGAAAGCCAACCGCAAAGAGTTGCGGAAGACTCTTCCAATATTAAATTATGGGGCGATAAAAGGGCACACGAAAATCAGTATTGCTAGATGTAAAGATGTAAAGCAACGCACATGGGAAAAGTAGCATAAACTTTACATACAAAGCAGTGGTCTCTGAACTAGAAAAGAATTCATGGAGCTGCATGTTCAGTGGCAGCCAAGAAATAATTTCAGAATGAAAAGGAAAGTCATTTATAATAAAAAAGTTTCATGTTACTGAATAAATTCAAGCCTGGACACACTGGATTCTCTACAGCATTCCAGCATCTTCCCACACGGAAGGCCTGGAAGAAGGTAGAGAGAAGAGTGACAGGACCAACGAAAGGTATGGAGCAGTTTCTGTACAAGAAACCACTAAGGGGCCAGGGCTCTTCAGTCAGGGGAGGCAACATTCAGGGCAGGTCTGAGTGGAGAAAGCAAAATGGGGAATAACTGTTTACCACCTTTCTAACACAACATTTAGGGAGCATCAAATGAGAAAAAAAAAGCAGGTATGGTTTTAAAACAAACAGAAGAAAGGCTGCGTTTTTGACACAGCGTGGAAATAAGCTGTAGCACTCACTGCTATAGGATGCTGCAGGTGCTGTTACATGGATTCAAGAAGAAATGAGAAAAGTTCATGTGAGGAACCAGCAAATACAAAGCCTCTCAAAGCTCCGTGCTCCAGAAGCCCCTAACGCATATTGCCAAGTGCTGGGAGAGGGTACTTTCTCAGCACCCACCACTGGCCAGTATCAGGGCCAGCGCACAGGTCTGATCAGCTCTGGCCAGCCTTCTTTACATGCCAGAAGAGAAGAGACACTTCCAAAATTACTGGTTGCTTTTGAACATTTTGGCATCAATGTTCAGAGTCTCAGTACTCATGTGATTGTTAGATAAGAGAGTTGCCAAACCGGGAAGACTTCAGGTCTGTGGCCTTTTGTAACATGCTCTGAGTATAACTGGCCTTGTAAAGAAAAAAAAAAAAAACTGGAAAGGAATTTGCAGCTGGTTTATAGGTGGTAACATAGAATTTGAAGGGAATTGGTTTAGCAATCCCAAACATTGTGTCGTGGTTTGACCCTGGCTGGACACCAGGGGCCCACCAAAGCCGCTTTATCACTCCCCTCTAACCAGACAGAGGAGAGAAAAAGTAAATCAAAAGGGCTCGTGGGTCGAGATAAGGACAGGGAGAGATCAGTTACCATCATGGGCAACACAGACTCCACTTGAAAGAAATAATTAATTTATTATCAATCAAAATCAGAGAAGGAGAGGAGAAAAACTGCTAGATCTTAAAAACCTTCCCCCCACCCCTCCCTTCTTTCTGGGCTCAACTTCACTCCCAGCTCCTCTACCTACTCCCCCCAGTGACACAGGGGGACGGGAATGGGGGTTGAGGTCAGTTCATCACACTTCTCTGCTGCTTCTTCTTCCTAGGGAGAGGACTCTGCCCCTGCTCCAGTGTGAGGTCCCTCTCACAGGAGACAGTCCTCCACCAACTTCTCCAATGTGAGTCCTTCCCACGGGCTACAGTTCTCCACGAACTGCTCCAGCATGGGTCCATAATTTCCACGGGGTGCAGTCCCGCAGGAGCAGACCGCTCCAGCGCTGGGTCCCCTGCGGGGTCACAAGTTCTGCCAGCAAACCTGCTTCGGCATGGGCGATCTGCTCCGCCATGGACCTCCATGGGCTGCAGGGGGACAGCCTGCCTCACCATGGTCTTCACCATGGGCTGGCAGGGGAATCTCTGCTCTGGCACCTGGAGCACCTCCTCCCCCTCCTTCTTCACTGACCTGGGTGTCTGCAGGGCTGTTTTCTCTCGCATCCTCTCACTTGTCTTCTCTCTCCGGCTACTGAGCCACAGACTTTTTTTTTCCTTCTTAAATATGTTATCACAGAGGCACTTCCACCATTGCTGATTGGCTTGGCCTTGGCCAGCGGCGGACACAGGGAATACTTCTAGCAGCTTCTCACAGAAGCCACCCCTGTAGCCCCCACACTACCAAGACCTTGCCACAGAAACCCAATACACATTGGAACTTTCTGATTTGGTTTATCCAAGTGCAGGATTAATAACCTGCAGATATTGACCACATTGACTGAACACCAAACGCACATAAATGTTACCTCAAACCTCCTTGGGAACCAAGTTCTTAACATTTACATTCAAGCTGCATGCACCTGAGTCACAAACAAAGGAGACCAGACACAATCTCATGTCACTGTAAGCATACGGGCAGGGAGATGTAGGTCTTTTCAGAGGAAAGCATGCCATGGCTGAAATGAGCTGCAGCGGGAGAAGACATTCTCATCAGGCTGCGGAGAGTAACTGAAAACGATCAGGACTTAATGTCCATGGCGTACAAACAGGACTGCAGGACTGGCATTTCAAAGGAGATTAATAAAGGATTCATCCTGAGAATATCATGAACAGCTCTTTCCAAGCAGGGAATTAAAGAGCTTTTTAAAATCCATGTTCTTAATTTCAGCCTTCTATAAGTTATGTATAACCAAAGCAGCCACATAAAAGAAAGTAAACCGTTAGAGCTGACTAGCAGAAGTACATGGAAGACAACTCGACGAGTGGAAAATACAATGTTCTCTCAGTGTTACAAAAACTACAACCACAGTGCAGAGTCCCAGCCTCCCTCTGCTCCCACAGTCGTTAGCAAGACAGCCGGCATCCTTCAACTGCAACAGCAAGACGAAGCTGCCTTTTGCAGTTGGGTTGTTAGGATTCAGCTCTGACTCTTGCTGAAACCAGCCTGCTCAGACAACAAACCGCCCAAACACATTGCCACCTTGCACATCCTGGTCGTGCTCAGACCTCCTCTATAGGCTGAATACCAGCTGAGGCCACCCCAAGTTTCACAGTTACCTCAGGATGAATTCAGCTCCCTTGCCCGCTGCAGCCGCTCCTACCATCCACTTCAGCAACAGTCAGTGCCCTGAAATGTTGCCTGGCTGGAGGGGAGGCAGAACTGAACAGGAAAAAATGGTTCTCGTCCCAGAGAAAGGGGGTCTGTTGCAGGTGTTGAGCCTGAGAGTGAAGGCTAGGTGCATCTTAACCAGACATTGGAAGAGAGAAGCAATATTGAAAATGCGAGGGAAGCTGAGTAAAAATCCATGTATATTGTTTAAAATCAAACCTCACCAACCTGTATCAGTGTCCAAAGCATGTTCAAAGCTTTAGGAATGTAAAAAACAACAACAACAAAAAAATCATATCCCAACTGGCCTCATGATGAAAGCCAGCTCCCTGTTATGAATGCAATCACGCATTAAAGCATCGGTCTTGGTTTATTTTGTATTTCTTTGGACTGCTATGCAACTGCCTACAGAAAAAAAAAACCTTACTTGCACATGCTGCTCTGGGTATAGTATAGAGGCAAAGGCTGTATGGGTCCAACTAGTTTGCACTTTTTGTGGCATCTGAACCACTCAAGTGTGCAAAATTAGGGCTTGTACTTTGTGCACGTTCTGGGAAGGATTCTACAAGCACATACAAATCCTTTAACCTGAGCAAGAATCTTTTAACCTAAACGTAACGGAAGACTTAACCACAGACAAACGTGGAAAACTGAAGCCAAAAACCAATGCCCAAGCTTGAATAAGGCTAAAAAACAAGGATTAAAAGGGAAAAACATGTTCCTTCTTACTCCCTAAAATGAATGAACAGTTAAGACAGAAGTGGGAAGAAGGATGATTTCCATTTTATGCTCGCAACATCTTGGATCAATCACAAAGGATTTCTGTGTTCAAGCTAAAGAAGGCTGTAGTCAACGCAGCTTACAAAAGGCAAGTCACTTGGTGCACTCCTACTCCAATCTATTTGTTTGTGTTTATCTCTGGTTGCTATGTAAGAAACAAGGAAAATCTGGTGGGTTAACATTTTTCTTAACAATGTTACTGGGCATCATCCAGTCTTTCCTGTTCCCCAAGGTCCTAACTGCAGCCCTGAAACACAGCACTCCTTTTCACCCTCCTTCTTCCAGGCTTGCTGCTTCAAATCAACCATCCTCACACAGATCGAGATAAGCACCAGCGCAGACAGAAGAACATCATCAAATGGCTACATCCCAAACGTGCACACACACCGAGTCCACCCCCGCTCAAATACATTTTCAGTATCAATCAAAATCCAGTAATTAGGAAATTGTTAGAGCTAACACTTTATTATTGTTTTAATTTTCACGGTAAGCAAAGCTTTATGAGACAAAGTGCCAAATACTTTTATTGTTATGGAAACTTCTGTTTAAACTGAAAGTTCAACTTTTCCAAGGCAGTAAAAAAATATATAGGAAAAGCTGGGGTCTCCATTTTATACGAGAGGGAATTAAGCTCACTTTCCCCTGTGCTTTGATAGGGAAAAAACTATGAATGAGTCCAGAGAGATCCCAGTATCTCTACACAGAATACTTAGATGAAGCTTGGGTTTAATTAATTTCTTATATAAAACTGGTTGTACAGTGGATAACTTACTTGCATAGAGTTACAGAGGCTCACAGAATCACAGAACAATTTAGACTAGGAAGAATTTCTGCAAGTTTCTAGTCCAACCCCCCATCAAAACCAGTACAACATGAGTCCAGTTAAATGTTTAGTAACTCCAGGGATAGAGCTGCCTTGCAGCAAAACAAATTACACTGAACCTCTCAACTCATAGTGGAACACATATGCCACTGCAGAGCGTAATAGTGTTAAACAGCTTGTAGAAGTCTTTCTACAGAAATATAGATCAACATCATGTAATTGCAAGGACCCTTACAGCTATGTAGACTCAATTCAGAGAAAAGCAGGTATCTGGGTAATTTCTGAATACAGTTGGTGTCCTTCTCCTTTTCAAAATGGTTAGAGTGTTTCCTATCATTAGCTGCTCGATGATTAGCCCCAGTTTCTCCAGCCTTAGAGCCTGTCTCATTTTCAGTCACGACCTACAACACTGCTCACACAAGCCGACAAGATGTGCACTGCCACCCAAAGAGATGGCCCTGTCCTTTCCAGCAACAGGAAACAAGGGCAAGCGTTGGGTCCCGCCCATGGGGAAGTTGAACCCCATGCACCAGCACAGACTGGGGGCTGACCTGTTGGCAAGCAGCTCTGCCAGAGAGGGACCTGGAGGTCCTGGTGGACAACAAGTTGGCCATGAGCCAGCAGGGTGCCCTTGTTGCCAACGGCATCCTGGGGCATGTTCAGAGGAGTGTGGCCAGCAGGGCGAGGGTGGTTCTCCTCCCCCTCTGCTCCGCCCCACTGAGACCCCATCTGGAGCACTGCGTCCAGTTCTGGGCTCCCCAGTTCAGGAAGGGTGAGGAGCTACTGGAGAGAGTCCAGAGGAGGGCTACAAAGATGATGAGGGGACTGGAGCATCTCCCCTACAAGGAAAGGCTGAGGGAGCTGGGCTTCTTCAGCCTGGAGAAGAGAAGGCTGAGAAGGGATCTCATCAACACGTACAAATACCTTAAGGGTGGGTGTCACGAGGATAGAGCCAGACTCTTCTCAGTGGTGCCCAGCGCCAGGACAAGGGGCAATGGGCACAAACGGAAGCAGAAGAGGTTCCAGTTGAACGGTAGGAAGAACTTCTTAACTTTGAGGGTGACCGAGCCCTGGCACAGGCTTCCCAGGGGGGCTGTGGAGTCTCCTTCTCTGGAGATATTCAAAGCCCGCTCTGGGTGACCCTATTTGAGCAGGGGGCTTAGACTGAGTGATCTCCAGAGGGCCCTTCTAGCCCCTGCCATGCTGGGATTCTGTGTGATTCTGTGACCCTTCCCACTCTTCAGTCATTCTCATTCATGCTGACACAGGTGTTGATGTGACTGCTTGGTGAACCAAATGGGAGGTTGCTGGGCCATCTAAACATGAGCACAACTATTTTTTTAATAAAGTTTATTTTTACCCAGATGAATTCCCCCACCCTGTTCGCTGCATGACCGTAACAAACAGCTGTGCTGGCAGAAGAGAATAGATAGTGCAGGGCCCAAAACAAGTGATGAAGGAAGAGAGTGGGTGGGATTGATTCCTTTGAAAGCAGTACGTGCTTATACCTAAAGTGCTCATCGAGTCACAGGCCTTAAACCCCCTCACATCCTACGCAACTCCACCAAAGTACCTCTAAAGTCTTATCTTTAGCAACCGCCTCTAAAATTTGGAGCTCGCAAAAGTGAAGCAAACTTTACACTGCGGATAAGCGAGGCTGTTTTTGAGAAACTGACTGAAAGTACGAGTACCTGACTGGGTCTCACTTGGGAGGGACAAGAGTCCAGTTGCTTGTCTACCCCTTTCGCCTCTTGCTGGGGACGCTGCTGCAGGATGTACTCGTACGTGGTCAATTTGTTCCACACTGGGAGGAAAAAAAGAGCAGTCAGTGCAGGAAAAGCCACTCCCCGATTCCCCTTCTACAAACAGTCTGAACTATACAATCAAACAGTAACTATAAACATGAGATGACTGGTACTCTAAGCCAAAAGTACCTTTGCACTGTGTATCTTATTATATCCCTCATTGTCATCATTACACTTTCTCATAGTCCCGATATTCTTCTAAAGCCTCATATAGATGGTACAGCTCTCTATACTGTAGTAAATCATTCGGCTCATTTCAGAGCAAATCCATTATTCATACCCAATAAGGGTAAGATCTGTATCACATAGAAAGCTCAGAGAGTAGTCAGAAGGTATGTGATGCTAAATGGAGACAGGAAATTCAGCACATTAGCGTGTCCCATAGAGATTGAGAAATTTCATGTCCAAAACAGTGAGCATTAAATGCCCAGCCTGTCTGGTGCCAAATAGACGTGCTCAGAGTTTATATGTGCCCGAGTTTACATGCTCTTAAGGCTCCCCCCCCCAAACACATCTGCTTCCATGAATGACCAAAAGCATGTGACATTGCCAAGCAGCTTAGTTTCTTCATGAGAACCAAAACGTCACAAGGATCTGAAACTCAAGACATTCCTCGCCTAATGACCCTGCTATGTAAGTATTTTTAGAGCACAAAACCCAGAAATGGATACTGAAGGTTTTGAGTACTGGTAGTCATTCTTCCTTCTTACAGAAGCACAGTAGTTAAAAGCAGTGGGACATCTAGACTAAAATCCCTCCTCTGCCTGAAGAAATTTGCAGCAGTAATATTTTACCTCTCAAAACTATGCCCTAACCACAGGATTACTTCACAGGGAAATGGGGGAGAGCAGAGGAGAAGGTGCTCCTCCTGTTAAAGCGATGACCTTATGAAGAAATATGAATTCAAGATCCATGTGGCCAGCAAGACAGGGCATAAAAATGAATGTGAGTCTGCAGCCAAGTGACTAGTGAATGCACTTAACGGGGACAGTGCAGGGTGCTGGCAAGTGCTCCCAGCACGGTACCGTATGCTTTTATCCGAGAACTAGAATATTGCTTCATAAGCAAAGGACTATAAACCATTTTTAATTTAGAGTTTGTTGGTTTCTGAATACTTAACAGTGTAACTTTTAAAATATTTTAATAGAGCTATTTAGTTGTTAAATACTGCATTTGTCTGGCTGGGTAACACTGCAGCACATACTGTGCAATATATAATCATAGCCTGTGACGAGCCCCATATCCTTTCCTACATTGCCTTCCTATATTCCCTACTATTTTCTTCTTTTTATTCTGATTACTATTGGCCTTTCAGTATGAAAGAAAAATATATCCTCCCTCCAAACTTCTGAAGTGCCATGCTTCACCGAATGCCTCTAGAACTGAGTCTCAATCAAGAGTGGCAAGTTTGAATACATGGACCTACTATCTTGAGAATAACCTACTTCCTTCCTTTTGGGTAACAGCAGTGAGTAATTAAACTTAGGACAGTAATTCTGAAAATTCCATCATGCTTGTAACAAAACTAGATTCTAAAATTTTTATAGTCATACCTGACTTAAGCCAGGTTTGGGGTTTTTTTTTATATGAAGCTTAAAGGCAATACCACTCACAGGGGTGCTATTTTCTTCCTGTAATTTAATTGTTTAAAAAAAAAAAAAAAAGAAGGTTTATGAAGAAATACTCATGAACAGTAATTGCATTTTAATTGGTAAACTGTATTTCTAGTCCCAAAAGGCGTTAGACAGTTCATTCCAACACTGTCTCCCTTAAAGCATTCAGATGAGGCTACTAACAATTACAAGTGTGAAATAAGAGGAATTTGAACCAGACATACTGTGCCTATCTCCCTGAATCCCAGCTGTAAGTGTAACACACACTCATGCGTAACACACAATATAGGCTTTGATATGGTAATATCGTTCCTTTTAAGCAAGGGCCTACACACCGCACTTCTGCACAGCTGGAACCAGTTTTGATAGGAGAGCGGATTTTAATGTAATAAAATGTTAACAAAAATTAACAATAATTAATTCTGTTTCCATGTCAGTCATAAAGATTTTAAATTGGGCCAGAAATGAAAGTTAATTTGGCTCAAAATTTATTCTGAAAGAGGAAAAAAAAATCACCCCAAAACAACAGCAACAAAAAAATCCCCCAAACCTAGAGTAAAACTAGAATAATGTAGCACACGTACAGGTTTCTGTTTGACAAGCGTGCCTTTATCCCAAGGAGGGAGCACCCTCTTGTGGAAGTTGTCCGCAAAACCAGGATAAATACCACTCGGTACTAAACCGAACAATCCTTTCTTTTTCACCCGACAGAAATCTTCCTGGAGCAGCCCCAGCTTTGTTATGCTTTTAGTCTTTCTACAGTGCTAGATGGACATTTGAAATCTCCAGGCATCACCATTAACCCAGCAAAGTCAGCTTTCAATCCCACCAAGAAAGCAAAATCGCAGTGTGACCAAACTTAAGTTAAACTCAAAGAGGCTGTAAAAGGAAAAGGACGGTCAATGTCCTCACCGACTGTAACGTTCATGCCAGCTGAGGAACATTCACCCATCAAATGCTACACTTCAGCAGTGAAACCATTTTGCTTCTGGAGCTGCACTGGTTTGTGCTGAACTAGTTTGTGTTGGCATCTGCATCGCTGTTAACTGACAACATAAAAATCTATCCAAGGCTCCTCTGTAACTGCTGTCCTCATTTCTCTTCCACCACATCCCTTCTTCCCTAGCTTTGGCACTACAGACTACTGCAAGTGTAAGATCTTTTCTCATCATGACTTACATCAGGCAGCCAAATAGCATTGGCTTCGTTTTAGACAATGGCTGAAAAAAGGCTTTTTATGCCCATCTGTACATAAACGAATATAAATATCCCTTCTTGACAGAGCAACAAGTAGGAGATCCAATGAGGAGCCTTTCTGAAAACCTCTTCCTCCGAATTCCACAAGTCACTTTGTGATGATATGGTACAACTTCCACAAAGGGACTTTGACCTGGATGTCAGATCTCCTATTAGAAATTTAGATCGATACCGTCTGCATTTCTCTGGGGCAATGGAGAATCAGGCTCTCTCACACAACAGAAGTACTGGGGAGCAGAGGGAAGACGCTCACAAAAGCCCATATGTGGAGCCAATCTGAATCTGCCGTTGCTGGCACTGAGCTAGAATTATCCAGATTATCCCAACTGTCCTCTCTATGACTCTCCTACGTGCTTTCAGTTAGAGTATAACATCTCAGACACATGAATGCCCAGGCCCAATGCACAAGCACTGATAAGCCTACCTGGTACTGGGGAAAAATCAGAAGTATAACATTAAACCCAAATTGCCTTTTCAACGGCAATTTTGCACAATATGTGCGTATTTGTGACATGGGTGAACACACAGCAAATGCAGAATGAGTGGAAGAAGCTAAGTGAAAATGAAACATGGATGCAGATGACAGGAACATAATACCTACTGAGATAGATGTGGAAGGTCAAGAGGTGGCCTAGCAGGATCACGGTCATTAGGCTCAGAAGAATAAAAATCCCAGCCGTGACCAAAATGGCAGATGCCGGAGTCTCGATGGGAGCTGCAGGAAGAAACACAAACCAGCGGTCTGTGTGGTTCTTTAGAGCTGGAAAACAAAAAGAGTTGGAGGTAAGTAGATTGTCCAGGTATTAATTATATCCAAGCAAACTTTACAGCTTGGAAATATTATCAACTCAAGAGTAGCTGCAGACCCCTCATGCACTGGAGGTCTAAGAAATCTTGCATCTGCAAGGCCTTTAGGAAGAGCAGCTAGTCAGCTCTGGAAGGAAAGACATTCCGTCCAGCTGAGCAGAGAATATAAATATTCCATCCAGCTTACAGAAATATAAAATTGAAGGAGTAAGGAATGGAGTTCCTCCTCAGCAGGAGAGCTCACAGAATCTGATCCCATATCAAGATACCCTGGCTGATTCATATGATGCTCAACTGAAGCACTACTAGTACCATCAAAGTGCCGGTCAGAGCGAAGCATCATGGGGTCAACGAAGAACTCCACAAAGACATAGCAAGCGATGAGCAGCAGAAGCCCAAGGCCCAGAATGGCAGACAGCACGCTGTTCAGAAAGAGCCTGCCAAGAAGGTGAGACATCTGAGTGGCTGCCATAACATCACACAGACAATTCACAATCCCAACCTCAAATAAAGACAGAGATACAGACAGCTATCCCAAATTACCGTGATGCTTTCTTACGCCCACAATAGATACTGGTTAACAGTCTTATTTCTGATTTGTTACCCCAAGGGACTAAACTGTGACCCTTTAGAGCAACCGTGGTTACAAAACAGCCAAGTATATCTAGGACAGACAAAGAGCTCCCTGCACAAAATCCGAAGGCAGCGTAACAGGGCACCCAGCAGTAACAATTCTTTGCTTTCCATGTGGTTTTAGTGCAGGAAAGTAAACTGAGAAGCAACATTCAGTGACAGCCTCCTTATTCTTTATCTTAAACCTGGCAAAGATCAGAGGTGCCTATATGCTGTGGTAACTCCTGCCAAGTCTCATAGGGAAAGCACGCAACCTGGATGCAGGTTGTTTCAGAGATGGGAAAAACACAATCATGGTTCTAGTCCCACTCCAGCTCTCAGAAGCATTAAGGACAGCCAATTAACATCCCATAAGCTTTTCCTAATACCAAATAATAAGATTATGTTCTCTGTTTTTTCTCATAAATGGTCAGCTACAAAATTCTAAGTGCAGGAGTTTTATCCCTGGTTATTTGAAAGTCATAATCATGCTTGCATTTTCCATCTAGTTTTCTCATGACTGATGTTATTCAGGCAGGGTCTGAAAGGAAAGTGGTTCTGTGTGGCTGAGTACAGACTGGAGGAGAATCCTGGGAAGAGAAAGAGCGACATTACTGATGCGGTATTGTGCTCCTGTCACAATGGAAGCTCTTACCAGTAATTCCTCTCTCCCACGCAGTTGTTGAGCCATTTGCAGTGGTGATCAAAGCCACATACACATTTATTGCAAGTTCCACAGTGCTTTGACTTGGCGCTCCTGCCAAAGAAAGGGTGGCATTAGCGTGGCAGAACCAGCTCATCACCATGACTTTCCAGGGGTACAAATACAGGGGGATACAGCATTAGAGATCCTGGTAACAGCAAGAAAACCTTCTACATCAGGAATATGTCAACATCCAAACCTATCAGCCCTGTCACCCATCGTTGGACTCCAATCCCAAGCACTACAAAATTTGCCTTGCAATGCACTGCATGATTTCTAACTTGGAGATTATCAATTTCTTATTTGAAACCCTTTAGCAGTTCTACAAAGCTTGATCTTAATGTCTGCCCTCCAAGCATTTCCCGCTACTGTATTAGCATCTAGCCAGATACAAGTACACAGGCACAAGTTACGCATTGTGAGGTCAAACACCAACATCCAGAAAACACATAGGAACAGTACAGTCCTCTCCACCACACGACATGTGAGCAATTAAATGAAACACAGAACCAGGTGCACATTTGACAGCAGGCACCTACCCAACTAACCGAACAGGATGAAGTTTAACTCGCGCTATAGAGCTTCAGGGGCTCAGTTTCAATCCTGTAGTCTAACATTAAAGACTAATGGTGAAGTGTAATGGTGAAGAAGAGCAGTAGAAAGAAAGGAGCAGATACTTACACATCTACATCACAGACATGGCAATGATGGTTTTCAATGACATGCGCATGTTGTTTACGATTGAAGGTGGCCAGAGGCCCTAGATAGTTTTTTTCTCGCACATTTGCATCCGCAGGATCGATGGAGACTGCAGTAAGATGAACAACTAAATGGTAGATAAAACATGCTCCAGGACACTGAAGTACACAGTTAAGGATTGTATGAGTGATTTGATGCATATATTTTAATCCTTAATACACAAAGCCCACACAGATGAGAAATAGATGGCTTAGAATTAGAAATCACTACATAACTGATTGCAACACATTAATCTGAGCTTTATCAACAGAGATGACTGCGCTGTAATAAATATCCTCTGGAAAAAGATAATTAAACCTAGAGGAACAACCCTCCTTACTATATGCTACTCTGCTTCACAGAATGTCCTTCTTAGTACAGCAGGTTTTAAAATTATCACCTTTACTTACCAGAATCTGACCCCCACGTGCAGACTGTTGACACAGGTCTACATTTCTTAGTCCGTTACAGACTCCTTGGAAAGGAACAGTCAGTTAAGGCCGTGCACACACCCCTTCACAAGACCAAACTTCCAAGAAAGAAAAGAAAAAGACACATCAAGGAACTAGTACTGATCACCTTGCTTTCCTTTTTCTCAGTCAGAATCCCAAGGAAGAGGATCACCCCGTTAAAGTAGGCTCCTACACAATTTACAGACAGACAGTATCCAGGATTTGCCATGGTTTCTTGAAATATTACCTGTTTGGATTCTTACTTCCAAACGCAGTTGCAAGTCAGAGCAAATACGCTTTAGCGGTACTTTTGATTAGACACCTGCAGTGACTGCCGATATTTGGAAAGAATATACAAATACGTAAGAATACACAAATGGAAAGCAGCGACCCTGTGTGCCTGGAGTACCACTGCACTCGAGAGTTTGCATCTCAATATACTGCAACTAAACCAGCATGTGCATGAAAATTAACCTTCCAGTTTATTTGTTATACAACCAGATGTGCGCATCACTGATCACACTAAGGCCTGTGGAAAATAGAGGAGTGTAGTAAGGAGAAAAAGGAGGTCTCTGAGAGGTCTAGCTGACTGGTAGTAAAACTTTGGGGTACATTAATCTGTTGACTTAGAGTAACTTTAGATTGAGTTATGAAGACACTTGGTAGACAAATTCACAAGGTTTGAATGATGGTTGAGTCCCCATCCCTGAGGGTATTTAAAAGCCAGGCAGATGAGGTGCTTAGGGCTGGGGTTTAATGGTGGGATGGCAGGGTAGGGGAACGGTTGGGCTTGGTGAGCTTAAAGGGCTTTTCCGACCTAAACAATTCTATGATTCTATGATAATCCCAAGGATTTCAGTAAAATAAGCAGATGTAAGACCACTGTGACCTAATGACATTAATGCCTAAATCACGCAGGCATAACTAAAACAATGATAAGCAAAAGCATCCCAAATATATCAAAAGGCTCCATGCACATATATAAATCAGATGTATAAATGAGGCGAGTGCATATCCCATCTCTTCACAACTTTCCCCAAGATTTTCCTTAATATTTCTTGGTTATCTAGTTCTGCTAAGAAAGCACTAAGTGCCACTTGAGCCACTCAGTCAATTTTATTTTCACCAGGAAGATGTTACCAGAGAGATGACAAAAGCAAACACTTCCTCATAAATTATAAACCCTTGCCAGCTTGTTAAGTACTAAATTCAAATCTCAGGATACCCTCTTCCAGCCTGCCGCTCCCCAGATAACCCAGGAGTCCACCAGGAGCCTAGCCTTGAGGAAGTTTCTTCCCTGGGCGCAGGTCACGGTACAAGGTAGCAGTGGGATGCTCCCCAGCACACCCCATCTCTAGTCACTCTCCTTCCCGGTGGCAGGAGCAGCAAGCACACAACAGCTCCAGGGAGGTGGGTTGAGGATAGGAGGTGGAAAACACGTCAGGCTGGGCCAAGTTAGGCTTTGCTGGGCAGCACACAAGACAAGATGCCCTCACAGAATAAGCACCTCACCTTCTGACACTGCCCATGTTTAGAGAACAGTCAGATTCTGCTCGAGACCGTCCCACGACGGAGCTCTCCTCTCAGGTTCACGCTACAGCGCCCTGTCTTTCACTCACAGACTTTCTACAGAGGACAGGGGAGAGGCCTGGGAGATTAGGATTTTGGGAGATGGTTTAGTGGTGGGATGGCAGGGTTAGGGGAACGGTTGGGCTTGGGGAACTTAAAGGTCTTTTCCAACCCAAACAATTCTGTGATTCTAAGATCAATTGCCAGCTATCACAAGCGACCGCACCGTATAATCCCAAACATATAAAGCCACCTTTCGAGACTCATTCAGTCAGCACGGGGAGGTGCGGCCACCCATCGCGGCAAGGATGTTTCAGGAGGGGCTTTTTTTAGTACGACTTCCCTCAAAGCCTGCAGCATGCTCATAGAAGAATAACATAAAGCAAAGGAGATGCATAGGCAGAAGTAGACAACAGAAGAGCCTTGGCAGCAAAGATCTTAACAGAGAGCGATGAAGGAGACAAGCAGAACGTTAGTGACCTACCTAAACTTGATGGGCAGAGAGGATCTCAAAATAACTGGTTTTTTTATAGACAGGAGAAGATCAAGATTACACTTATAGTTCAGAAAAAGATTCTGGCTCAGCTGCTTTCTCCTACGCTTTCTATGCTACCTAACAACTACTGTAAAAAAAATCCCTGATAAGTTTATTACAGCCCACGTTCTCCTCTTGACCAAAGGATACGATATAGCCAGCGGGCAGCCAGTGGCGGGGCAGGAGAGGAACCAGGATTCCAAAGCCAACCAGCGCAAAGAAGAGGTACAGTAACCAGGCAACAATCTGGAAAAGGTGCAGAGGCCAGCTCCAGCCATTCCTTCGAGCACGTTGAACCTGCACCTCAGGAACAGCTTCGCCAAAATTCTCTGGAGCTGTCTTATTAGGAGGTTTATTGCAGATATTCATCTACAGAAATTAAAAACGGAAAACAAAAAAAAAAAATGTGATACAAAAATATTGTGACTGAGCCCTGGTCCTGAAGATATGCTCCAAGGTGGAAAGAAAGCTGGAGAGAGTAAAACAACGACACATCTGAGGAGACTTCTCTCTGCACGGGGGATTTGTGATCGATAGTAACAAAAGGGAAAAAACAATTACACACTCCAAAAGCAAGTGCTGATGTCTGCGTGAAACAACACCACCCCAAACTTTCAGCTACAGGAAACTTGCGGGTTTTGCCAGTCTTTGAATGGATCTAGACCTAAACTGAGTAAAAAAAGCAAAGAGAGCATTTTGGTGGCAGTCCGGAGATGGAGTATGATATGCTGTGGTCTGGGGGTATGTTCGTGTCAGAAGGCCGTTACGGATGATGGCAGAACAAATGCTTTCACCTGTCTCAGATTCGCCGTGTTTTCCTTGCAGCTAGTGCACAGAAGTGCAATGAGAGAGGGTGGCCCCGCTGGAGCGTGTGGTCCAGAACTGCAATTTAGCACTACACAGCATCCAAGAAAACAGAGGCCCCTTTGTCAGCAACAAAGGAAGCGGAAAGACTAGAAACCGAAAAAGTGAACTGACAATTTAATGACAAAAGGGGGAAAAGAAGCAGGAGTTACTCCACAACACAAGTATAAAGCCGACTGTTGCTAGAAGAACAGAACAGAAAGTTACATATACAGGACATACATGCAGGAAGCAGCTCGATTATTCGGCTGCCCTACAATGTCTGGACTCCTGGCAGGAGAAAGCAAGATTTAACTGCAAATATGAATTACAAACAGTAACCTGGAAAGTCCCTGATGTTTATGATTCCTATTTGCATAACAGCTATGAGCTCAGAAGCAATTTCTCCTTTTTTTAAATTTGTGTTGGATTTTTAGTTGTTGCTTTTCACTTGCCACGGAGCCAGGATGAGCTTTTACCAACAGAGAGTTGGGCTGCTCTGCTTCACAGAAAACTCGGGTGCAACCCATACTAGGGAGTACAATACAGGGTGGCATTGCAAAACCAGCACTAAGAAGCTCTTCTGGACCTGAGCTACCTCTGTGCCATCCCCACTGTTCCTTCATAACTAAAGAGGATGTTAAATTAACATCTAACAGGGATAAGCAACTTCAATTAGTCTGATTAACTTGCACACGAGCATGCCGAAAGAAAAGGAGGAGGTCTCTAGCTCACTTGCAGTATTTTTGATAATGGTTCCAGTACCAGAAAAATGCCGAAGGGCTAGAAGACAGCAAGCATTCTAAGGTGCTGAAAGAGCGAGCAGAACAATTCAGATCTTGGTACGCCAAAGGTCCTGCAGCAGTCCCAGGCAAAGGGCTGGAAATGTCTTTTGGGGTCAATTGGTAGAGAAGCAGTGAGTAAGAATACACAAAAATGTCATTTATGCTCATCAGCACAGTCTTACCAACAAGCAGGCTGGACAAAAAAAAATTCTTAACTTCAGTCTTCAAAGAAATCGGCAGTATCTGCCTGCCTTCATAATTTAAATTTCTACATGGCAACTGGCTCATCAATGATGAGAAATAGTTACTCATCATGTGATACTTTTCTCATTAGGTTGTTGAAAACTTGCTTGCACATCACTTTGAGCTACCTGTTACAAAACCCACCTGGATTATTTGAAGAAGTTCCCAGGTTTCTCCTTTCTCCTAATCAGAACCTGGCCGCGGGGGAGCCAGGGCCCACCCAGACACTGGAATCCCCATTTTGCTGCAAGACTTTGCTGTTTTATAACACCAGGTGGTTTTAACATTATGTTATTTAATGTCAAAAGCTTTGGTACAATTTGACAGCATTTTTTAAGCAGCGAACTGCAACTAAAGCTGGCAGTAAGCTAGCGCTTGGCTAAACTATCCCCAAGGCTGCGGTCGTCCCACAGCAGTGTATGTCTGGCAATGGGCTCGCAAAAAGGAAGCAAGCTGCACATAATGCTTCGCCTGTCCCATTTCAGAAGCGAAGTTCCTCTTGCCTTTCCTTTATGGATGGATGGCTTCTCTTGCAGCTAATGCACCAATTCGTCCACTGACGCTGATGAAGAACAAAGCGAGATGTGAAGAGAGAAGTTCAAAGACACGGCATCTTCCCTTCCCGGCAGGGTGCCCTACGCTGCGGGTATGCCCGGCATTCTTTTCTATCCAGCTACAAAAACCACTGAATATAAAAAAAACAAGGCACAAAGTCACCATCGGGGCTTACTCGGTCACTGTAAGAGCTGACACGGGTTGTTAACCGTACTAGTTAACAGTAAGTCAGCTTGGATGTTCAGCCACCAGAGAGCCAAGCGCTGGGCAGCAGGAGGGAGCATGCAACCGGCCGCGCCGGGGCACCGGTACCTCCCGGGAACGTACGGGCCAGGCACCAGGGGCCGGGCAAGCAGAGTGGCTACTCTGTGAAGGCCGGGGTAGATCCCTCCCGCGTCTCCGCCACCGCCTTTTCCTCACCTTCTCCCCGCAGAGGCGGTTGAGAGCGGCCCCGTACCCGCCTCATACCCGGGCGGGGAGCGGGGGCCCCCCGCCGAGGCCGGGACCGCAGGCC